GCCTTCGTGACATCATCACATTCCAGATTTTGGTCTGCCTCCTGGTGCCTTCTGCTGAGCTATAACATAACAAAGCACATGCTAAACAAAGGCAGTGAAGCCGTCCCAGTAACAATATGCATCAGTACAGCCCAGACTACCTGAGATCTTCAGGACCCCAAAACAGGAAGACAACCAACTAAACACCCAGTTGTTTTATTTCTTCCACATACTCATACACTGAGATAGTTTTTTTTTTTTTAAGAACCACAATTGTTTGCCTCATTTGTTTCAATGTTTTTGTTTTGTTTGTTTTGAACTTTCAGACAGACTCAGTCTGTAGCCCAGGCTGCCCACAACTTGCCATCCTCCTGCTTCAGCCTCCTGGATGCTGACATCACAGATATTCCTCACCGTGCCCAGATTGTTTGGCAATTTTTCAATGTTAATATGTAGGAATTTCATATTTATTTTTGTTTCCCATCAGTTTCAGCTCAACTTTTTAAAAATATCTTGAGCACGTCAGTAAACCTATCTACTCAGATAACTTACATGCTGTCTTAATTTGCAACACTCATAAAAAAAAAATGGCTAATAATCGATGCTGTGATGGGAGAAGCACTACTCTAAATGCTATAATTGTTTTTAACCCCTCACAACAGGCCTGCAAAATGGTTGTGATTGTGTCGTTTCTGCCAAAAATAATTTAGACAAGAATCAGGGAAAAAAGTAATCCCAGGCTTGATACCAACTCCCATTCTCCCAGCCACTCCCCAGGATCAATGCTGAATGTCTGTTCTAGTATCCACACTGCTACCACCTCCACCACTCGCCCCCCCCCCCCCCCCCCCGATAATTCTGGTAATAAAAGCTCAGTCTGTGGCTAGAGCCCCAGACCACACACAACAGAGTTCTTTCTCAGCAGACATTAGCCAGAGATCCATGCTCACACACAGTATGACACATGTATGACAATTACACATGTAATTGTCAGTTCACTTTAAAAGACCATTACCCTCCTAAGTCTCACCACTTTATTCACAAAATTAAAAAAATAAAATCATGGCTAGTAAAATGCCCTGCAGTTTTGAAAAGTAACATGTCCATAATATTTCTCTTTCTCTGCTAACATTTGCATCTCTCATCAATTGTATTGCTTGGCCTGGAGAGATAGCTCAGTGCATAAAAAATGCTTCTAGACCAGGGTTCAGGGTCCTCAGCGCTGAGGAAAAGCCAGGCATGGCTCTGTATGCCTCTGTAACTTTAATACCAGTTGGGGAGCAGGTAGGTCCCAGGCGCTTGGTGCCCGGATAACTGAGTGGAAACTTCAGGTTCAGTGAGGAATCCCTGTCTCAGAAAATGAGGCAGAAAAAATGACTGAGGAAGACATGTGATGTCAATCTCAGGTCTCTACATGCACAAACAAGGCAGTACACACACACACACACACACACACACATACACACGCACACACACACACACTACATTTGAAATAAGTTTTCTCCTACACATATTTGTCTCCGTCATTAAATTATGCACCACGCTATAGCTAACATGACCTAAATGTAGAACACACCCCTCAAGCTCCCCATATCACATACCTCATGGGTCTCTCATTTTCTAGGGGAGTGTTCCAATCTCAGTTCCAGGGACCTCAAAGACCTCAAGGAATCAATTCTCCTACTTCAGATTGAACAAATGTTGCATCTATGTGCACTTTGCTCTGAGACATATCCAGAGGTTCTCATGTAGAGTCTCAAAGGAGAACTATTTTAGTGTCTGTTTTCAGGTATAAAGATAAATTTCCAAAAATATTTGTATAAAACTCTTTGTCACTTAATTCCTAACCATCCATGCAGTTTTATTTTGTTATTTTGTTTCTTCTTGCACCAAAGTTTTAAAGCATTTGTTGAGTTATTCTATTTGGTTACAGATTTCTTTTACTACCTTACCAAACTCCCAAGTTCCAGTCACATGGAAACCATGATCTCGCTATAACGGTAACAGCCCAGCAGCCTAGCCTCTGTCCACTCTGGCCCACGTGCTACCATCAGCTAAGGAAGCCATTGTCTTCCGGGATCTATTCACCACTCTATAAATACCAGAAGTGATGAGGAAGCAAATGAATTGAGCGACACTATTATAAAATCATTTCTTCTGTTTATTCTTATTTTAGTATTTATAAATGTGTAAACATCACCTTTCTGAGATCTAGCAAAGGGTGATTGCACATGTTCTTAAGGAAAGGTTGCTATCATCTTGGGTCTATATGAGGAAGTCTGCAGCCTTGAGGCCCAAGGCATGCATACTCCAACTGACTGCAATTGTTTTCTTGCCCCAAATGCCCCTGTCATTACCCACTAAGGAAACAATATAGTCCTCAGAACCTAAAGTCTGAATTCACACATACTTCAGTACCAATCTTAAATATCTTTGTGTATCAGCTAGACAAGACTAAGCAAGCTGTAGAAACTCTTTGAGCTCTAGTCCTGTCTTAATTGACTCACTGTTACTGTGGCAAAATGTTTAATATATTCAACTTAGGGGCTGGAGAGATGGCACTGACCGCTCTTCCAAGGATCCAGATTTAATTCGTAGCAGCCGTAAAGCAGCTCACAGCTGTGTGTAACTCCAGTTCCAGGAAATCTGACACCCTCACACAGACATGCATGCAGGCAAAACAACGACTCACATGAAATGAAAATTAAAGATATTCAACTTAAAAGGAAGAAAGGTTCACTTGGGGTGACAGTTCGGTGGCCCCGTGCTCTAGGCCTGTGATGGCACACTATATCAGATCAGAAATATGTATTGGAGGAGGCATGTTCACCTCATGGTAGCCAAAGAGCAAAGACTTATACAGGAAAGGGTTAGAAATCTCAATATCTCCTTCAAGAGCATACTGCCAGGGACATAAATTCCTTCCATGTGGCCTTCATATCCTAGGGGTTTCACCGTATCCTGGCAGCGCTGCAGGCTGGGAGCTGTGCCTGTAATATCTGGGTGGTTTGCTAAATGGTCACCATGCTTATGACTTACCTAAGGCACAGAGTCAATGTGAAGGAAATAACGGTGGGAGAGGTCTGCTGGTGTGAGTGATGATGGGGATGGGGATGATGCTGAGTGTGAGAACGGTAATAACTGCACAGGGAGCGACAATGATGACAGCAGTGAGCAACGGCGATGATGCCGGGAACAGAGGCCTTGTTTAACTCATCTTGAGCATCCTCGGCATCTACAGTAGAGCCTGATACACGATGCTAACAAATCTTTGTTAAATCGATGACCTACTACCGAGTACCAAGAGCCGAATGCCAAGATACTACCAAATACTAAGAGCTGAGGGAAGATAGAAAAAGTGGGGGAGGTTTGTCATGAACTAGAATGAGCAGGAAAGGTTGTGTTGAGGAGGAAGATAGATAAAGGATGGTTTTACACCTATGCTACATTGCATGTAGCATAGCCAAAATAGAAGATAAGCATCTTTGTTTGGCATTAAGGTAAAGCAGTGAGCATTGAATGTAGAATACTGTCCATGTTCGGTACTATGCCTAGGAACTAGTATCAAAGGCAGAAAACTACACTTGGTGCTTTTGAAGCTATGTGTTGCAGCAAATCAGTGCAATTAAATGTTTCTTGTAGACAAACCTGTTGCTGAAAATAAAGGGTACTGGGCTAAGAATGTTTATTATTTGTCCTGTAATTATTACGGCAGTATATCTAACCCGCTATCACAATCAATAAAAGACACATTCACCTGCTAGATTTTAGAATAGCCTTATTTCACCTGGAGCAGGGCAGATATTAACCCTCCAAACTATCTTTACCTCCCAGCCTCATCCCAGGCTACTTCCTACCCATAATTCCATAAATACTTGTTTATTCTTCATGTGGGCCAATTCCTCCATCCATGCAAGCCATGTGCTTCTCCCATGCTAACCCATGACCACATGCTTTTTCCTTCTTCCTCCTCCTGTACTATCTCCTTCCCAGGCTCCTCTCCTGTCCCCAAAACCCAGGAACCTTTGCCACGCCTACCCCATTTGCCCTGCCCAGGTGTGTCAGCCTTTTATTGGTCGAACAGGAATAAGTTTTTTAGGCAAGGTTACAAATATCACTTTGGGGGACGTGAGTGTCTGCTTGCTGTCTTCTTGGGGAGCAAATCAATGAACACTCAAATACAAAGCACCTGACCACGCCGTCACACAAACCTCGCAATACGATGGTAAAAATGCAAGCTTTGCAGGAAAGCAAATCTAGATTCGGATTTCTGTTTTACCGCTCGAATAACTGTATTATCTCGGACAAGGCAGTTTAAACTTCAGCTCCCTGCCTCTCCCGCAGGGCAAGGGGAAGATGGAGTTAAGCACCCTGTGGCAGGCAGGCATTGCCCTACCTGACACACAGCAGGTGGTCAGTGACCCCAGAGAGACTGATATCACCACCAAGGGTGTGAGTGGTGCGCTCTTTTGTCTGTGCCAAGTCAACGCGTACGTTCTGGTGGCATATGTTCTAGGCAAGAAGCTTGACCTCGCTGAGTGTGAGGGCAACTGAGCTTTTTTTCAAACTGGAATCGTGTAGAGAAGGGCTGTGAGCGATGGAACACCACTTGACCGTCTCTTCCAAATGAAAAAGAGTGCAGTTTCCAACCTGAGCGCTTGACTGGTGGACCGCTCTACCGGGAAACAGGAAACTAACTCTTCCCTCTATTAACCACCCGCTGCGCAAACTGTCATGCAAATACTGCCCCTTGCTTTATGCAGAATGTTTATGAATCCCCGTGACTTCATTTGCTTGGATTTTCCTCCGTAGTGAAGTAACTTAGTCAATGTCAAGTGTGTTTGTGTATAAACCAGCCAAATATTTCCTCTTAAATACTTGTGCTCTGAGTTGAACACACAGCTACTGTGTAATCACGTTTTTAGTAAGAGACACCCTCAACCCTTTAGCGAGATCTAGTTCCATGAATTTGTTCCTTTTACATAAGCCTCAAATAAATGGAAGTATTTCATCTCACCCAGGTTCTTCCAGGGGACCCAGTCCTCTAACTATGGGGGCCCAGGACACCCTCCCGGTTGCAGCAGCATTCACAGAAACTGTCAATGCCTACTTCAAAGGAGCAGATCCAAGCAAGTGAGTATGGGATAAGGCCTTTTGTCTTCTTGAAACCTTATTCTATTTAGTGTGGGGTGGAGAGGGTGGAGGATACTGCACATGTAACTGTCCTGCCTTCTGAGGAAGAGTTCTAGGGAGCAGATCCATAAATTCTAAAAATTCGCTCAAATTATATTGCATATCCTTTTTGTTAAAAAAAAAAAAAAAAAAGACTGTCTCCCTATGTAGCCCTGGCTGGTCTGGGGCTGGCAACAGAGAGACTGGCTTTGAACTCATAGAGATCTGTCTGCCTCTACCTCCCACGTGCTGGCTTAAAGACGTGAACCATGTCTTGTGTGTGTGTGTGTGTGTGTGTGTGTGTGTGTGTGTGTGTGTGTGTGTGTATGTGTGTGTGTGTGTGTGTGTGTGCACGCACAGAGAGCTATACCGCTCTCAACGCTTTGGAACAAAGGGAATCCTGACTCCAAAATCTTGGCAGGAACTATTAATCCACACTACACCAAACACTTTCACCAGACTACTGCCAGCTGTCTCATTAGTTTAATTCATGACCTGAATTCCATCAATAAACAAATGGAAACCTAAGTGAGAGATGAACTGCTCTTATTTATTTTTTCTCACTCACAAGAACAGGGCTTTAAAAACCTTACAATCTAGGACAAGAAGAATGAGAAGCAATAGGTGTGCTTACTGATGACATTACAAATTTTATTAAAAAGTGAGAATTAAACACAACTGGAGCAGCACATTTTAAGTGGGCACGCACATGAGAAAATATGAATCCTCTCTCCCCTTCTCAACATTATTTTGAAAAGCCTAGCTCTGCTGATACCCTTCTAGAAAACCAATGTAATTAGTAACTCCAGCCCCAAAGCATCCTACCCAGTCACCAGCTCTTTCAGGCTTCCTGGGTGCCATGGCTCTTTCAACAACTAGGTTTAATTTTTAGGGCCATAATAATACACAGAAACAAACGCTAGGAGACTAGGGTTGATCCAGAGAGGCTCAACTCCAGGACATGAGGAAAAGACAGGGCTTAGGAGTAAGAGAGGAGAGAGGCTCATACAGAGCACATAAAAACTATCAGCTTAAGATGATAAACACTTGCTACATACATGTTAGGATTGTAGACGCTGCTAAAACAAAGAGTTTGTACAACTGAGTCAGAAGGACCACTCACCGCTGACCGATGGATGCCTTGAACACTGAGGCTGATAAGAACTAAGAAAAGCACAAGCATATATTTAAAAAAAAATTTTTTTAAGGAATGTGGAGAGAATGCATACACTGTAGCGAAAATCCAGAAAGAAGCACACAATGGGTCCTTTTCTGCTTGCTTTCTAATCGGCTCCCGTTCACTCACCTGCTGATGTATTTAGGGATGTAATCGGTCTTCCCATCTTCCACTTTGGCCTCTCTGAAATCCATCCCCATTCTAGCACATCACTCCCATGCTCCATTTCATCTGTTCATAGGGAAAACTCTACTCAGTTTTTCACACTAGGATCTGTGCTGTCCTGGTGTTCTGCGCTCTGTTGGTACAGAGCTTCCATCCACACCCCGTCACCCCCTCTCTGATCTAGCCTAGCTCACTCCCTCCTCCCTTATCTACATCCCTCCCTCCATATTCTCTCCACTTAAACCACATTAGCCTAGAGCTGTTTCTCTTTTTTTGCCCCACTCTGTCTCCCACTTGGTCTATCTATCTATCTATCTATCTATCTATCTATCTATCTATCTATCTATCTCCACCTCTATCTTTCTATCTGTTTTACTGAAGTTTTCTCCCATGTATCTGAGCAGCTTGTCCCCTTCATTTTGTTTTTTTAACGAATTTATCAAACAGAGCTTCTCACTGAGCCCACAGAAAGCAGCACTCTTCCTCCTCTCTCCCCAGCACTTCCTCTCTCCCTACCTCCCAGCTCCTCCTCCTCCTCCTCCGCCCTCTCTAATAGCTCACACACACATTGTTTTCCTGTTGTTCATTATCTGTCGCTCCCTGCCCACTGGAATGGAGCTCCGAGAGCTGGATTTTGACTCCTTTCTCCATTGTTGTGTCTTCAGCATCAAAACAAGGCTGGGTTGCTAAATGGCTCAGGCTGCCTCCCTCAGCTAAGTTCTGCAGAATGGTTATTCTGCACCAACCATTGTAACTAGGCAGAAGGGACACAGTTAAAGACATCCAGGATGGGAAATAAGACTTGCAAGTGAAAGAATCCAGAGTCTGATGTAGCAGAGGTGTGAATACTTATGCAATGGAAGACAAGTCCTTAATATTTTGACAGCACAATTTTCTTTAAAAAAAAAAAAATCTGTCTAAATGTCTCTGTCCTCAAAAAGGGTGAAATAAGGAGGGTGAATGATTAGGATAGTAAGGAACACTTCAGAAAGGGTCCTTTGAACTGAGGGTGGAGTTGAAAGGAGAAAGATTTTTCGTAGTATATAAGCCAAGTAGGTTGACTAATTAACCAGCTCAGGCTCACACACACAGAGTATGCTCATGAAAAAGCTGTGTGCTAAGTGGGAGAGATGTCCTTATGCCCTCCCATACTTCAGAGTCACAAAACTCCTCACTGGAACCGTCTGCAGATTCGGTAGCCCAGCTAGAGAATCCATTGCTGCCTGTGGCAAGAGGGAAGGAAGAGCCAGTTTGTAAGTCACATGATACTTGACTTGGGGTTTTCTTCATTCTTTCTAAATGCTTCATTTGTGAGGGTTTATATGGCTTTAGGCTTTATTCAAAAATTGATTTCTACTTTCATTTCTCATTTTAAATTTCCTAATGCAGATTCACATAACACATTGAGACTACATCAAATGCTGATAGAAACAGCCATTGAGGTAAAAAATATTTTCATAGAAAAAAAAATCCACATCAAACAAACATGGAATTTAGTAATCCGTAATTAACAAAATTCTAAATTTTCATTTAGTGAGCATGCAGAAGATTAAGGAAAGGCAAACTCTTTATATTGTCTCTTCAGCACCCTCCACTGGCAAAGGTTTACCTGATATTGCAGGCAAAGGAAAAAAAGTTTTAATTCCAAGTCTCCCAGACTAGGGAGTAAAGAATGGGTTGGAAGTGAGAGTTTGTAAATTAAGTTTATGCTGCAATTAATACTGTGATTCTATATTCCACTTGGAAATATAAAGGACCCATTCCTGAAACAACTTTGAAAAAGAACAAAGTCAGGGGCTGGAGAGATGTCTCAGCAATTAAGAGCATTAGTTGCTCTTGCAGAGGACTGAAATTCTGTTCAGAGTGCTCAGATGGTAACTCACAGCCACTCATAACTCTAGCTCCAGTAGATCCAGTGTCCTCTTCTGCCCTCAGAGGGCAACCAGTCTCATGCCTTATGCATAGCAATACAGGCAGGCAAAACACACATACACATTAAATAATAAATAAACAAATAAATAAATAAATGTGGATGTATATTTTTTAAAGAACAGAGTTGGAAAACAAATAAGATGTGATTTGTAAAATATCACAAAGCTACAGTAAATAACACAATGTGCTTCAAATATGTGCTAGATATCTCAATGGAATAGGAAAATGGATCCAGAAATAGGCCCATACCTAGATAAGCAACTATAAACACAATATCAAGGTAAATCAGGAGAGAAAAGATAGACTTTTCTCAACAAATGGAAGAGAGAGGATGTGGTGAGGAAAAAAAGAAGAAAAAATAAGGAAATAAAGAAAAAACCCAACTGCATGCATTTCACAAACGACAAACTAAATGTTGAAAATTAGAAGGAAGCAGATGAGTTACTATTTTTTGTCTTGGGTTTAGCAAAAACTTCTGAGATAGAACATCAGAAGAATTCCTGAATTAATATAATTCTTAAAAGGGAAATGTGAGTTAAAACCTCCTTGTTCTTTCACACGTTCCCAGGAGAAAAAAAAAAAAAAAAAGAAATCAAATCCCCAGACCTGGGAAAAGACTGAAAAGCAGGCACCTGATGAATGACATCTACCTGAAATATTTGAACGAAAACAATTTAGAATTCAGTAAGAGAACAAAATAAACAAAAAACAAAAACAACAACAAAAGTGGCTTAAGGACCTGGCAGGGATTCTGAGAAGACCCAGCTACAGTGGTGCTAACTAATGACACACAAGAAGCATCTGAGGGGACTAACAAGATGGCTCAACGGGAAAGACACCTTTGTCAAACCTGAACATCCCCCAGAAAGCTATGTGATAAAAGGACAAAAACCAACTCATGCAAGTTGCCTATGACCTCCGTGTCTGACAGCATGAGCACTTGAGGGTCCACGTGTACACATGTGCACACACACATTTGATTAGTAGCTGATTAGTTAAATCTTTATAAAAGATTTTAAGCTCCTTCGACATTCTTTAAAGTCAAGCTAAAGGGAGATCTCACAACTCACCAATTAGGCGAAGTGAAGAAAGATTTCACACAAGGCTGGTGAGCACGTGAAAATGCACCTCTGTTTTCCATTTTAGAAAATATTTGGGGAGAAAAGAAGAAAGGAAAGAGAGAGGGAAGGAAGGAAGGATAGAAAGAAAAAAAAACACAGAGAGATAAGGGGCAGGGCAAAGAAAGAACCAAAGTCAGTTAAGCCATTTCATTAAAAGTTAAAGATATGTTCCCAACACATGCCTGAGTGATCCCTCCTACTTAGCAAGAAAAATAAGAGGCACAGCCACACAATGGCCTCTGTACACCTTGACCATACCTTTGTAACAGATGAAGACTGGGATAAACACTAATATTCTTCAGCGGGTGAATGGATTTATACTACTTTAAATCTGATCTATCCAGTCAGCAAAAGAAAAAATGAACCACTGATGCCAAGAGCTACATGAAGAAATCTGAAGATAATTCCTCTTGGGAATAAAGTCTGACCCTACCCTCAAGCACATATCTGTTAGATGACTTTCTAGAAAGTATGGAGTAATGTTAGAGAGATAAAAGTACATAGCAGGTAGGACTGGGAGGTGTAAAGCTAGGCCAGGGGATGACAGAAAGGCAGGAAAAAATGCTTGGAGACAATGGAAACATGGCTCTTGGTGGTGTGTTGATTTCATATTACAAATGAATAAAATTTACATAATAAATAGTTACACCTTATCACCTTTGTACCTCCTTGAAGCCTTCGAAATAATTATTCTTCCTTCCAAACTCTCCTCATATTTTGTTTTAATGTCTATGGCTGATTTTAATTGTGACAAAATAGGCAAATTGATAGACTAAAGAACTAATAAAGTAAGATGTAAGAACTTTACCTTGGAAGTACGTATGATGATAGTATACAATTTATTATCTCCAAATACACAAAAAGCACAAAGGGTAAATGATTCAGTTGGTGAGGCCAATCAATAGGTTTTTGTGCTGGCCTTCTACAAGCCCAAAATCTATTCAACAAAATAGCCAGCTTCTTTGGAGCCAGCAAGATGGCTTAACTGGAAAAGGCTGTTGGCCACAAGGCTGATGATCTGGGCTCATCCCTAGAACCCGCATCGTGGAAGGAGAGAACCCACTCCCACAAACCAGCCTCTGACTGCCACAGATGTGTGTACACGCAACCCACACACAATAAATATGCTGTAAGGCCATTTTTTTCACCATGCTCATGACGTTTTAGTAGACGTTTTAGACGTTTTATGTTACTCCCCAAGAAAGATAATCAAATGTTCAAAAGATAAGTTCAAACTTCAAGTTCTTGAAGTTGCCTTGTTTTAGAAACAAATTTTATATGTTCTTATGGCTAAGGTTTCTTTTAAAAAAATCATATTAGTCATATAATTTAGGATTAACATACTAAAATCTATACACCTAAAGAAGCCAATCAAGAAGGAGGACTCTGACTAAGATACTCAATCCCCATTCAGAAAGGCAAAGAGGATGGACATCAGAAGAAGAAGAAAACAAAAAACAAGTTAGGAACCTGCCACAGAGGGCGTGCAGGGTATCAAAGCAGATACTGAGACTTATAGCCAAACTTTGGTCAGAGTGCATGGAATCTTATAAAAAGGGGGCGATAGTAAGACCTGGAGAGGACAGGAGTTCCACAAGGAGAGCAACAGAACCAAAAAGTCTGGGCCTAGGGGTCTTTGCTGAGACTGATTCTCCAACCAAGGACCATGCATGGAGATAACCTAGAACCCCTGCATAGGTGTAGCCCATGGCAGCTCAGTGTCCATGTGGGTTCCATAGTAATGGGAACAGGGACTGTCTCTGACATGAACTGACTGGCCTGCTCTTTGATCACCTCCCCCTGAGGGGGGAGCAGCCTTACCAGGCCACAGAGGAAGACAGTGCAGCCACTCCTGATGAGACCTGATAGACTAGGATCAGAAGGAAGGAGAGGAAATCCTCCCCTATCAGTGGACTGAGGGGAGGGGCACGGGTGGAGAAGGGAGAGGGAGGGAGGGGTTGGGAGGGGAGGAGGGAGGGAGCTACAGGGGGGATACAAAGTGAATAAACTGTAATTAATAAAAATTTTAAAAAGGAAAAAAAAATCAGTTCTGGAGTTCTCAGGTAAGCTGGAAATGGCTTGGTGGTTAGGACCATAACTGCAACTGCTTGTCTTTAACTGTGGGTGTTTCACGTCGTTACGCAGATCTTTTCTATGGCACCACTGCTTTGCGTCCCAGCGTACTGACCCTGTCTCTGCTCTTTCCTTTCATGCGTTTGGTATTTCAGATGCATTGTTAAGATCACGGGAGAAATGGTGTTGTCCTTTCCTGCTGGCATCACCAGACACTTTGCCAACAACCCATCCCCAGCTGCTCTGACTTTTCGAGTGATAAATTCCAGCAGGTTAGAGCACGTCCTGCCGAACCCCCAGCTCCTCTGCTGGTAAGTACGGTCCTGTGTACAAACTTAAAGAGATGATTAGCTTGGCACCCTACCTCACGGTAAGGTAGGGTGCACTACCTGTGCACTAATAACACCATGGCTGATTCACCACAGTGCAGACAGGCACGTAGATCTGACACCCAGACACACAGGGGTACATGATACTGTGTGAATGTGTATATATATATACACAATTGTGTTTTAGTGGCCAATTTGTAACTAAGTTAAAGGGCATTTAAGGGAACTCTGTGCTGCAGACAATGCACACAGGGCTGTTTCACTTGTTACTGTTTAACAGTTGATAAGGGTAATAGGTGATGAGCCCAATAATTGGAAAACTTCTTGCTGTATAAACAGCTTTTTTAATGAGGAAATACTGGAACTGTGGGCTATTCTTCCACGTGACTATGACAACTTTTTGTGTGAAATATACAATTTTACCAAAATGGTCTTTTGTTGCCATGTACCACACCAGGGAAGGTCGTGTGGATTTGTTCCTGTAAATGCACACTTTCTCATTTCAAATCTGAAGTGATGGCTTTATTGTGCTTATGCATGTGTACTGGTTTGTGGTGGGTGTGACAAAAAGGAGTCATTCTCGACAGCTTCCTGCCCATCATGAAGTGTGGGTATTCTAGCCAAGAGTCCCTCTCCAAAGGACCCACACCTAGCACCTTTCCTTGAGCTAATACCAACATCATGTCCCCAAACTACGGCAGTCACAGTTGTTTCCTTCCCTGGCTCCAGTCTGACCCTGCTCCAGGCCATTTTTACACCCAATGACCTTCATGAGATTGTTCTTTGTTCCCAACTGTCCAGTGGCTTCACGTGGCCCATGGCCCATGGCCCAGAATCTCAACTTGTTGCCGTTGTCTTTGAGCATCCGAGCACATATGTGCGTTTGTTCTCCTTAGTAGTCCCTACATCCCAAAACCAAATGGAGTCCTGCCCCACATCGGGGCTTAATGCCTTCATTTCCCCATCTTCTGATATCACCCTCCACTTCTTCCTATGGCTCTACTCTCTCTCTCTCTCTCTCTCTCTCTCTCTCTCTCTCTCAACTCTTCGTCTCCCCTGATCACTCCCTGCCCTCTCCAGCCCTACTGACCATCCCCAAAGTAAGTGATGTCCTCTCGCCATCCTCCTGGAACATCCCCATTCTTTTCATTTAAAATTGCCTATCAATTTCTTTGTCCATTCACCATACTGTCCCTATGGCATAGCTCAATCCAGAGGGCATGGGACCCGGCTGGTCCTTTGCCATGATGACAGGGCAGTTGCTGGGAAGATCAGGCAAGTGGTCATTGAACAGGCTGCTGAGAGCCAGCTGTCAGGGATACCAAGCTCTTTAGAGGGCCGAGACTGCACCTTGCTCCCCACTACTGTGATCAGCGCCATTAAACTCCAACACCATCTTGTTTGTGAAGGGAGATTTTTATTGTTTGTTTTTCTTTTTTCTTTTTTTTTCCGTTTCTTAGATCAGCAGTTCTCAACCTGTGGTTCGTGACCTTTTTGGGGGTCAAATGACCCTTTCACAGGGGTTGCCTAAGACCGTCAGAAAACACAGATATTTACATTATGATTCGTAGCAGCAGCAAACTTACAGTTATGAAGTAGCGATGAAAACAATTTTACGGTTGAGGCTCGCCACAACATGAGAAACAGTATTAAAGGCTGTCAGCATTAGGAAGGTTGAGAACCACTGATTTAGATGCTCCTTGGATGAAATCATGACTGTGGCAAAGGAGCATGGTGATGTTAGCTGCTTCCTTCCTAGTTAGGCAAAATCGTCACTCTTTTTTTTTTTTTTTTTTGGACTAACTGTGTACCCAAGGCTGGCCTCAAACTTGTGATCCTCTGGCCTCAGCCTTCTCAATGCTAGCATTACAAGTGTGTACCACCCCACCGAGTCTTTTAACTGGTTAGTTTCTGAAAAGTGCTAGTAGTTAAGTCAGTTCAGAGGAAAATAGGTTTACTCCCCCTTAATTGCATTGACTGATAATTTCAGGTAGAAATAAGATAATCTGGGGAGAGTATTAAGTATGGATGAGGAAATAGCTACTGCTTCAGAGCACCCATTTGAAATTCTGCTGGGTCAAGAGACAGGAGCTCACAGGAATGTCTGACGGCAGAGCGTCGCCTCCCTGTGGGACACCACGCAAACTGCACTGTGCCAAAACCACACTGGGGTTGCCTTCGTGTGCGGACTGTAAGAGGCACATGCAGAAACCAGAAGCTTCTTGTGCAATGTGAGCTAAGGGATGAGCTGCTGCTCAGTTGTTGACTTTCTTTCCATCTTACTAGCGATAACACACAAAATGATGCCAATACCAAGGAATTCTGGGTAAACATGCCAAATTTGATGACCCACCTGAAGAAGGTCTCTGAACAAAAACCCCAGGCTACATATTACAATGTGGACATGCTCAAGTATCAGGTGAGTCTAGCGTATGATGAGGGTTGCCTGGTTTCCCATCCCAAACTTATCAAAGTGTCTAAAGTTGCATCAACGTGACCTTTCTTTTACTGTTATTGAAACGCCGTGGTTATAAGACTGAGGCCTTAACTATGTAGGGACTGCTGGGGGGAATATTAATCAGAACCCTTACTATTTTATCTATTTATTTTATTTATTTATTTAGAAAAATGCCCCCAAAATGAAGTCGAAAACACACATGCACACTTAATTAAGATTCTAAGTGTTGGGGCTGAAAAAATAGGTCAGAGCTTAAAAGCCACTGAAAGCCCTTACTGCTCTTGCACAGAACATGGCTTCTGTTCCCAAGCTTGCAACTCCATAGTGGCTTGTAACTCCAGTCTCAGGGGCTCCACCGCCATCTTCTGGCCTCTGCTGGTTCCTCCGTGCATGCAGCATTCATAGACCCACACAGGCACACTCACATACACATACAAGCAAATAAATAAATCTATTTAAAAATATATTATAGATATTGATAACACCATCATGGTTAGAGCGTGCATTCTAATACTTTGAATTTTAAGTAATTAGGTATAAATAACCTGGAATTTTTTCTAGTATGACCACCTCATGAAATAGTTCTAACGCAACTTATGCTAAGAGATAACGCAATGACAGAGGAGCCCACAAGGTCCAGTCCCCTAGCTGAAGACTGACCAGATGGGTGCTGAGGGAGTGGGGCTGTGAATTCTGCACTACACACCAGGGATTCAAACTGATGCCGCTGTCTTAAGGCAATATTTTAGTATTCAAACCTGGATTTTTCTTTGTGCTAACTCCCTCACCATTGGTTCTAGCTAGACTGCATAGAGTGTAGTTCTTCCAAGCAGAGGACCTGGGTTCAGATCGTTATGTTGAGAAATCTCAAAGGAATGAGGGCAATGTCCAGCATCATCTGCCTCACTGGTGTGTCATGAAGAGCAAACATGACATAGATATTATTTTAACATGTATTAACTGTTATTATGCACCATTTCCTTGCTGTGTGCTAGACATGGTGCTGTTTCTCCTCAAACATTCCCGGTAATCTATGGGTTGTGTTGTTTATCATAATTCCCACTGACAGATGAGAAAATAACTGAGGCTGAGTGGGTTTGGGGACTTGTCCAGAATAAAGCAGCTTGTTAAGTTCTGGAAGAACCAGAACTCACACCCAAGACTGTCCACTCTCATGGCCTCAGCTTCCAACCGCTATCCTAGCCCACCTCCCCAAGTACAGAAAATGCACTGTGGACTCTACCAGGCTATAGGGATTTCCACAGCTGACCTTGTGTATTTAACTGGAACAGTTACCTCAGGACGAAGCACTCCCCACCCCCCATCTCCCATCCCCCCACCCCCCACCCCTGTTGCCTAAATATCACCAGCTTTTCCCTGGGATCCCGTTTCTGAACAGCACAAACAACAGTATGACATTTGGTTTGTAAGCCGAGTGCAGCGGTAGCCAATCACAGTCTCTAGTTTGGTTTTAGATTAACACTCACACCTTCTCTCTCCTGCCCTTTGTCAAGGTGTCAGCCCAGGGCATTCAGTCCACACCTCTGAACTTGGCGGTGAACTGGCGCTGTGAGCCTTCCAGCACTGACCTGCGCATAGATTATAAGTACAACACGGATGCCATGTCCACCGCAGTGGCCCTTAACAACGTGCAGTTCCTGGTCCCCATTGATGGAGGAGTGACCAAGCTCCAGGCTGTCCTTCCTCCAGCAGTCTGGTAAAAAGCTTCGAGTTCCCTCCCTCTTCCCGAAATAAAAGCTTCTTCTGCTTAAGGGGAGGGGGGCAGACTCTTTAGCACCAGGCTTTACTGTGGGAAGAGACCTCAGCAGGCCTGTAGGCAGACGTGGGGTGGAAATGGAAAACTGCAGCAGATGAGTTAAGCAGAAAAGGCTTTAATCTGGGGGCGTCCAGTGCTTAACCAAGGGCGGAAGCACCAAGCCGGCAGCTTTTGTACCCCGGACTATACCCCATATAGAGACTGGGGAAGGAGAGGAGTTGGCCACCAGGGGAACCAAGTTGGTCTGGCTCCTGACAGTTTGATTCCAGGATCAGAAAATACTACTCTCAGCACTCACAGACTGGCGCCCAGGCTGGGCCCTGTGTTTGAAAGCTCTTTGCACCCCAGCTGCTGGCTAGAGAAATAGCAGAAAGGTTCATCAGCTTCCCAAATCTCCAGAGCCTGAACCTCCCTTGGAGCTAGGACCTAACTGAGTCTGGGGAATGCAGCATTCCATGGAGCCACCAAAATGTAAAAAGTGCAGCTGGTGGAATCAGATAGGCCTAGAAAATGATGAGTGATAGAATCATCTTTAATGGGGGTCAGTGGCGGGGCTCAGTTTTTGCACAAGTACCAGCAAAACGTAGACTACTTCTTTAAAACAAATAGGGGGGCTGGAGAGAAGATGGCTCGGCAGTTAAGAGCACTGTCTGCTTCTCCTAGAGGTCCTGAGTTCAAGTCCCAGCAACTACATAATGGTTCACAACCATCTCTAATGGGATCTGATGCCCTCTTCAGTCATGTAGGTGTACATGCAAATAGAGCATTCATACACATAAATTAAAAAATCTTAAAAAAATAAAATAAACTTAATGTGAGCTAGCCAGCAGTTGTAATGGAAATTACCTAAACCAGATGATTAATAAATACTTTCCTTCCATTTTCTGGATTGATGTGTTTCTGGATTGATGTGTATTTCCCTCTGACTGTTTATCTCACCTTGCTGTGGCTGGTTGGTATGAGGAAAAGAAAGAACATTTAACGTGTGTAGGGGTACGAAGGCAGCTAGGCAGAGCTAAACGTTTGGAGGCCTGCTTTATTTTAATTAGCACAATCTGGAAATGTGGCAATCTGTCTAACAAACTTTTAGCATGTGAAGAAGCTCTTTGTTTTGTTTTTAGGAATGCTGAACAACAAAGAATATTATGGAAGATTCCTGATATCTCCCAGAAGTCAGAAAATGGAGGTAATACAATCACAGGCTTAAATCTAAGATAACTTACAGGTCTTGGCCAACTGTGAGCCCAAATTCGTGTAGTCCTATAAGCAAGCAGAATGTTTCATTAGTTTGGTTATTAACATCTGTAAAAGCAAGTGGCCTTTTGTGAACCTTCCTCCTTCCTTTTCCACCAAGCTCTCACCTCACATAGACCATCCTCACGGCAGAGAAGAGCCCTTCCGGCGGCATGTCCACCCTGTGTCAGATCCTGTGTAGATGTCTTTTCTTTTCCACTCTGATATTAATCACAGGTTGAAAAGGATGTAGCCGTCCTTGCCTCATGCCGCAAAACTTTTCATCATCATCATCATCATTATTTATTTACTTTGTATCCCAGTTGTAGCCCCCTCCCTCATCTCCTCCTGGTCCCACCCTTCCTCTCTGTCCCTCTCCTATCCCTCTTCCCTAGTCCACTGATAGAGGAAGTCCTCCTGTCCCCTCCAGGTCCTCTTATATCCCCCACTTCTTCCATAAGACTCCCTGCGCTCTGTCCAAAGTTTGGCTGTGAGTCTCTGGATCTGCTTCAATCCCCTGCTGATTGGAGTCTTTTAGAGGACATATGTGGTAGGCTCCAGTCCTGTGTCCTCTCTTCCACTGCTTCCAGTGTCTATCCTGTTTTCCCTTCGGAATGAGAATTAAGCATCTTCCCTAGGGCCCTCCTTGTTGTTTAGCTTCTTTAGGTCTGTAGATATTAGTATGTTTATCCTATATGGTATGACTACTATCCACTTATCAGTGAGTACATTAAGAGAGCATGGCTCTCTGTTTCTAGGATACCTCACTCTGGATGAGCTTTTCTAGTTCCATCCATTTGCCTGCAAATTTCATGATTTCCTTGTTTTTAATAGCATGCCAAAAATTTTGAAGTACCATTCGGCTGACATGCTTCAAGCAGCCGATCACAGTACTCCAGGACGTTTTACTGGCCATCATTTTGTAAATGAAGAATACATTGTTTCCTAGGCTGCCTGCTTTTGCACAGTTGATCTCAAATGCAGTTTCAAAGTTATGTGCGGAATGCTGCAGGCCGCTTTATGGCAATAACGCTCTTCTTTTAAAGGCGTAGGTTCTTTACTGGCAAGATTTCAATTAGCCGAAGGCCCAAGCAAACCTTCCCCACTGGTCGTGCAGTTCACGAGTGAAGGGAGCACTCTGTCTGGCTGCGACATTGAGCTTGTCGGAGCAGGGTACCGGTTTTCACTCATCAAGAAGAGGTTTGCTGCAGGTAAATGGGGACCTTCAGTTTCCTTGGTAAAAAGATCATGTTGCTACCACCCCTCAAGCAGGAACTGGGTGTGATTTCTCCTGTCATATTCTGAGCTCCTCATTCCTATCCCCACATCCCATTATAAAGCAAACCGATATCTGAATGAAGTACAAATGAGCTGGCAATTTGAACAGAAAGGGTCGGTCTGGCTGCTTATGCTGGGTCAGTGCCTTATGTTGGGCTGAGCCCTTGTCCCCACCTGGTTGATCTGCATATTGAAGCCAGTGGCGATAAGTCCTGCCACTGTGTTGCCAAACAAGATGGACACACTTGGATTTGGCTTAAAAACCTGTTTTTGAAACAGCAGCATAAAAATATGCGGCATGTCTGAGGCATGGGAGTGTTAGATTCCTTGGAAGGTTTTCTTTCACCAGCTGAACTTTTCAAAATTTAGAATTGTCAGGCGGAGCTAAGGCCCTAGGAAGAGCTGCTTTTACGCTAAAAAGCAATACTTTAAAGTATCTGTGGCCCAGCAGGTTAAAGGCTGTTTGCCCAGAAAGTGGTGTGGCACCAACAAAACACCTTCTATGGAGGGCATCGCCGGTAATAAGGTGATTGCTCTTGTCATGGCTTGCTGGGGTAAACCGAGAGCTTTACCCGGTAAGTGAAGAGAGCATGTGACCGCTCCCCTCCTCCCTCCCCCTTTGGGTCTCGATTTTTTTACACCTGCTGCTGTGATGCAATTATCAATTATATCCCTTTCACTCTCAGATGAACTAAGTCTGAAATGAATACGAATAGCTTATCATATTCAGGGACAGATTCCTGACCCTCCTGGGCAGGATCCAGGATGCTCTACAAACAGTCTACAGAAATGCGGGGAACTAAGAAACCTGAAAACCTCACCACTCCGTAGGAGTGGCGCCAAGGGATGGGGCAGCCATGAGCTTGTCCATTGAGCTTGTAGATGCCGTAATGAGCTGCGATTTTTGTTTTGCAGGAAAATACTTGGCCGATAACTAATAAAATGTCATGCAAGGATTTTGAAGATCCATGTCCTGGAGAACTGTTGTCTGAGAGACATATTTTAATCTGGTTTGAGGAAAACAAACCAACCGATGTCTGTACGTGGGCTCTGTCAGCTGGAAGGTCCCGGCTTTCAGCCGTGATTTCCCACACCCAGTACAAGGAGGATCAGTTCTACAGTACTTACTTCTAGGTGTACTATTGTTAATGGTTTTAAAATGTAATTATTGTATTTGTAAACTGTACCTTCATTCCAGTAAGGCAGTTAGACACCTGAGTTTTAGCGTTTTTTTCCATTCCTGAAACGGATGTAATTTAAACTGTGGTATGTAAATTTAATAGTAGTACTGTCGAATGGCACAATGCTTACAGAGATACAGTGCATTTTGTCAATATATAAAATTTAAATATAATGTTGATAGTTACCATAAAGGGGGTGCCACACATCAAGAACCTTAAATGGAACCAGAAACAAGCAAACAAACAAACAAACAAACAAAACCTTACTTTTCTTCACTCCTTATTACATTTTCCTCTAGTGCTAAAGAAACTTCTAGCTTCGGTTTAGTGGGTTAAATTCAGAAACTATTTCAGAAAAAAAAAAAATTCTGAAGTTACAGCATATTCAAAGAGAAGCATTAATTACCACTTTTTTAAAAGCTTTTTTTTCAAACCGCAAATTTCATAAAAATGCAAACTGTGTAAACAGGGCCTCTTATTTTTATAACTTGTGTAAAAAGGGAAAATCAATTCATATTTAAAGTTTAAGTATATTAAATTATATCCAAGAGTGAAGAGGATGTTGAAATCTTACCTGACCCCATGCCCCTTCTTTGCAGTTTAGCAAATGTTGAGATTGCTAAATCATCAGATTAAAGCCAACTTGATTTTTAAAGTTTCAAGACTTTCTGAAGCTGAACTGGTTAAAACTTTTGCACAATTGCTTGGAACGGAGGGGGAGGGGCCTCTCTGGTCCAGCACAGGTACCTTGTTTCTTCCCTACTCACAAGAATCAAAACAATGAGAGTCAAGAACCACAGAGGGGGGAAATTAGTTCCCTGTTCAGTCCAAAAGGAGAACTTTAAACTTATCATTTACGTCTTTGGGGAAGGAAGAAATAAGCTTTATAAGTGAAATCCTATTCACCTTGTTGTCCTATGAATGTTTTCGGGGTGACTTTAAGATTCATTGTATACATGTGCGAGTCTCTGCTATTCTTGGGGAGTTGAAAGCAGAGCCAGGCCAGTGGCCTTGAAGTTCAGTAAATGCCACAGTTCTGGGGCAAGGGTAGGCGTGAGGGTTCTGCCCCTCAGCACAGGAATCAGAGCAGTGTCTTGTAAGGTCTAAAGATTAAGTCTTCCAGTAAGCCACAAGTTATTTTGTAACAGAGTTGGGGAGTTTTGGCACTCGCTGCTGACTTTCATTTTGTATCCACTCAAATGGAGTCTTCAACTCTTTTCAACTTTAGAATCAAATTAATTTTTTTTTTTTTTTTTTTTTTTTTTTTTTACACAAGGTTTACTCTGTGTAACTGTCCTGGATGTTCTGGAACTCTTTTTGTAGACCAGGCTGGCCTCGAACTCAGAGAGATCCACCTGCCTGTGCTCCCCAAGTGCTGGGATTAAAGGCGTGTGCCACCATGCCTGGCTTAGATTAAATTTTTTAAGTCTTACTTCAACAGTGAGATTGTGATTGGCAGTTGTTTCTAGAGAGCTTTGTAGCTTAATCTATGTTCTCTTCAATCAATGCTTGCTACCAAAAGAATGTCCAAAATGATCTATTTTTCCTGGGAACAATTCATCTATTTAAAATAGGCTCTTGCCTAGTTCCCCAAAGCAGCCTGTCTTTGAAGGTTTTTTTGAACAAAATAATTTTTTCACAAAAAGTTTGGTTTTGAAATCAAAATAGAGAAATAAAATGTAAATTTTAAATCTAATGGAACATGAGGAAATGAAAAAACTTAAGCCAATGGAGAGTAAAAGCAGAAAAAAAATGAAACTTACCTAGAATGTGATTATATTATGTTTTTAAGTAGTCAATTCATGGAAAAATATTGAATATTAACACAAAGCATATTAAAAATATGTAAATATTACTGTTTCTCATGTCTTTCTCTTTATATCTTATTTTATATAGTTTTAGAATGAATTGGTCATTAAATACAGTGTTTCTTTCCAAAGAATAATTTTGTTGATATTGTAAAAATGTAATTAAAGATAGAGACTTGAATAGTCTCTAACATTATCCAAATGTTTCTAGGAACCAAATTCAAAGCTATGAAGAAAGCTTGCAATCCCTTAATTGGCTTTTGTGAAATGGAATGACGGTGGGTAATCTCAAAATTCAGACTTGAATAGTCAGAGCTGAAGTGGGGAATGGGTGGTTCCTTCTGGTTCAGAAAATAGGTCAAATAACAGCATTTGCTCGCATCAGGGATGGAGATGTTGGTGATGTTTGGTTTTACTCTCGCAGGCTTTCGTCTCCTGTTGAAGGTGTATCTGTAGCCCAGTGGGATAAGAGTTCATGTTCTGAGATGTGGTCCTAGACAAGGCAGGCAAGGTTTCAGTCATCAATACCTATCAGGTCAGGTTCCCTTTTGTCTATACAAAATGGGTTAGCTCATAGCCAGATGGTTTGCAGGACAGTGAGCTAAATTAGGACAAGATTCTGGTTAGCCAAAGAGCTGTTTCCTAAGCACTCTGATTTTTTTTTAAAGCTGATAGAAAGTGTAAATGTTCTATTTTGGCGACATGGAAAGTATGTTTTCCTCTTCAAATAAATCCCTTATTTTTATGAAATTTTCAAAAATAAATTCTTGTTTAAAATAGTCTGAATGTTATCATAGTTGGAACTTGGCAATTACTAATTTGAAATTCTATGAGATGTATCTCCAGCTAAAATGGCAATTCCCTGTATGCTATCTGGGGCTCAGTTTACCTCTAAGGAAGACTGTCAGAGTGCAAATGGTTTTGAGTGACGGGAAAGTCAAAGGGCAAATGTTTGTGCTTTTTCTTTTTCTGTCTTATATACTTCTTCTTGGTCTCAGAATGCAAAGTATCAGAGCCATAGTTACACACATTTCCACTTTTAACGCTTCTTTTGAAGGAAGCAGATCCACTTTTGCCCCGCCACTCATGCCTGCTGTGCAGACTCAGACGAGTCCCTGCCCTCTTCACGCCTTTGGGGTGAGAGGGGAGCCATATGTAAGTAGTTTTCAAGCTTTTCTTAATGGGACTTTTCTTTTTCTAATAAAATCATGCCTGGAATCCTGTAAAGATTGTTGCCTGGCTGTGAGGGGGCTTCTCCAGATCCTGAAATATAGCATCACAATATGTAAATGACTCCCGATGGATCTCCCAGCTCTGAAGACTTGCTCTTCTACTTCACATGTGTAGCCACGACGATCAGCCGGCACACAGTACAATTAGCTGTGTAGTGAGTGCTCCCCAGCTATCAGTCATGAAACATATCACTTCGCTCAACCTGTTTTTAAAAAAGCTCCAAAATGGTAAAAATGCTTTTCAGTCTTTGTTTTCCCAATAATGGTATTGAGGCCTAAGCTGATTAACTTCCCCCAAAGTGGTACCACAGCTGGTAACGACCCCAATGATCCTGAAAAAAATGGAATGAGTACCTTGCTGTTTCGTTTAGTTTATTTTGGGAAAATAATCCATTTGAATGTCAAGATAAAAAGGCACCAGGAAAAGTCCTCATTGGAAGGATTAAAGATGAGCCTGGTAAGATGTTAAGATGTTACTGTAAAAAAAAAAAAAAAAAAAAAATGCTGTCTCTTACATGAATGAAGTGTGGGACCCCTTGTTTCCAAACAGGAGCAGACTAATGGTTTAAATTGAGGTACCATTTTATTCTCAGAACCTAGGCAGATTGCAAAGTGTACCAACAAGTCTTTCTAAATCTCTAGGGTTGGAGCTTGGGAATATGTATATTCATAAGCACCCAAAAGCTGAGCATCATGGCCCCGATGGCACTCTAGGACCGTCTTTACTGCTCACATTATAGCGGACTTAAGCATTAATTTCTAAGGTAAATGCCATTTTTCTAGTGTTCTCTCCCAATTCAGTCTAATTAATAATAGTGTTTTGCTTGCAAGGAACACCCAGACTGCAAGTCTGGAAAGCCGACTTTATTTTGTAAATTCTTGGCTTTATAAACATAGATTAGCCCCACTCCAAAAAGAACTTTACCAATTTTTGCTTTGTTTTGCCTTTTCACAAAGTGATTTCTGGTTGGTAATGAACGTGTAATGATAGTGAAATACGAAAATATTTCAGTGAGAGAGTGTTTGTGTGTTAGAACTTTCTCTTCCCCCCGAAGAGGGTGCATTTTTGCAAGATTCCAGTCAGGCAAGATGTATTTATTTCATCATGTGACTTTCTGTCCAGCAACTTCTAAAAACTGAAAGCAAGTTTTTTTAGTGATATCAGAATATAGCTTAGAAACTTAATATAAGGAAATGTGATGTTCCCATGATATTTTCATTAACCAGTGAGTCAGATTGTTGGTATAAAAATTTCAAGTCAAGTGATCCTGAATAAGGAGACTCTTACGATAAACCTACAGTGTTCAGGATCCACATTTATCTCCAAAGCTTTGTTGGACTTTCCCTACTCCCTTAACTTTTCGTTTGTGCTATCTTGGTTTCATTTGTTCAATTTGGCAAATAATGTAGAAAGCCGTCCTCTCACTTATGAATTAGTATGGCTTCTCTCATGTTTTGTGATAAGCCACAGAACGATGAGGAGATATGAGACAGAAACACACTGATCATATCTCCGAACATTGAAAAGAAACAGGCAAAAAGCACTGGTCTTTCTTGTCTGTCGCTGTTCTGGGGCTGCATTATTTTCAGCAAGCCAGAGTTGCATTGTTAGTATCAAGTCAAAATAAAGTTCCTTCTTGAAGGACTGTCAAGTTTTAGAATCGGTTGAGATGACTAGGGTTAGCCATTTTGACTGGTGCCATGTTTAGTTTTTGCTATCTGTCCTAAATGGGTAGTGACACAAGAAATAGACAGCTTGTTGACCTGTGTCATGGCTACAATAATGTATTATCCAGATTTAACTTCTGGTTTCTTCCCTTTATTCCTGGAGCACATTGCCTGTGCTAACACATCTTTAGCCTCATAAGAAAAAGAAAAATGCTTCGGTGCAAAGCCAATGCAGATTAAAGTGACCCTTAATGCTGTTTTAAAGAACAGGAAGTGTGGTATATTAGAACTGCATTCATCGCCAGTTTCCAAATCATGTTTGGTTTACTAGCACAAGCGAGGGTTGATTGGGTTCTGAAACACGTGGTTCTATGCCACAGTCATCACTCTTCAGATATGGGCAATAACTGTCATGGTCATGTTGAAACTTAAGAGCGTGGCTGAACTGGGAAAAGGGGAATTTTGTTTATAAGAGTACACCTTGAAAAAACTTTTAGAAACTTTTCTTCTAATTCACAGTTCACTGAGGGATGTGTAAGTCAGATTATATAGGAAAGAGGGAGTGGCTAAAAAGATTTTGGCTTTAAGGGGATTTTTTGGCCATTGGAAGTAAATGGTTATAGGCACTCACCAGTATCTTTCAGTAAGTTTTAATTCTATTTTCTAAAGAACTCTTGACCGAACATGGAAATGGCTTTGGATCTTTAAGATCTGAACCTATGAACAACACTTCAAGCCCCTGTTTCTTCTATATTTTTGGAGTAAGTAACACTAGGGAAGAATTTTCAGTGATATTTGGCTAAACAGCTTCAAGAAACCACATCATGTTAGAGTGATGCTGATAGTATTTTTACATACATTTTGAAACTATGAAAATGTTTTAGTTAAGGCCAAGTACAATGCATTGTTTTCTCAGCATAGAGTCAGAGTAACCCTGAGTTTTATTTTTGACTTTTTTTGAAAATCATTTTTTACATAAAATCAAATATAAAATGTTCCTTTATTTAAATTTTTTTTGTACAAGACAGAAATGACATTTACGTTTTCTGAACATAATTCAACCTATGATCCATTCAGCGTCTGTGAATTATTAGCTGACAGACACAACTATCTGTAAGTTTCCTACCTCATGGATTGAGTATATCGTGCATATATTAATTCCATCTGTCTTATTCAACTGCCATTATCTTTTCTGGCAAAAAAAAATGAATGCGGAATGTCATTTATTCATCATCACCTTAAGCTATTTAAAATAATATACCAAACGACTGTCTCAGAAGATCCAGAACCTCGTACATTTCTTAGGAGTTGCTTGGATGCTATTTCTTAAAGCTGCATTGATTCCAGGGGTTGGTGTTTCATTACTGCTTCTTAAAACGAATATGCCTGGATGAGATCGGTGCCTCTCCCTCTATCTTCCTCCCTCTTTTATCCCCCTCCTCCCTACATCCTTTTCCCACCCATCCCACCCCAGGCTACCCCTTATCTCAGTCAAAGGGAACCGGATAATTGATGTTGAATCTTTATTTTGGAAATATAGTCAAATATAAAACAGGAGCTATGATGATGACACTCTAGTCCTACCTACCAACAGAGATATGCTGCACGCTAGGCAGGAATTTCCAGGGCTGGTTCTACACCGTTTGAACACTATTATGTTTCAAGTAAAAAGATTTCTTATGAGTTCTTCACTTGTAAAGGGCAAAACTTCTCTGAAATGAAATGGTCGGTTTGAACCATCGTTCCCACCCAGCGGCAGTACAAGCCGTTGGTGTCTTACTGTTCTTTAACAATAAGAAACTAGGAAAGGCATCACAGAGAAGATTTGCTGTGTTTCTAAGTATAGGTAATCCAGCCAGCCATTGAAGAAGCTGTTTCTCAGTGTGTGCTTTGACCCGTCGGTGGCCTTTATCTCAAATCATCTGTGGTCCATGTAGCAAAAGTACACTGACTCTCTTTATAATCTCGTGCTGAGTAGATCATCACATGAAACATCTTGGGCATAAAATATTTACAGAAGAAACTGTGTGCTCAAATGCTCAAAGCGTATTTTAAATTTAGTCGAGAAGTCAAGGCCTCGTCGTTCTTCCTACCTGCTCATTTCAACAGTGTTCCCTGGCGTAACTGCCTCATCTACAGCACAGCGTTACTGTTTCCTGTGTCCTCAAGGAGGTGTGGTCCCGTGAAAACCCGCGTGAGTTCTCTACTGGGCAAGAGTGACAGGAATGTGGCTGGATGGATTGAAGATAATAATCACGAGACCATCTTCTTGTCACTCGCCTTATGAGTTAGTGAAGAGTGTGGATATCCCTTTTTGTAACTGGTGGTTTTTATAAGTGTTCTTCCCCTCACAATTCTTCCAGTCACCCAGATCACAAAATCTTGGATATGCAGTTCCTCTTCATGATAAAAATAGGGTTCCCGTTTGAAAACGCAGTTTCATGTAAGTTGTTATTGAAACGTAATTTTTTTTCCCCCTGGAAAATAAATGAAAATAAACTGAGCCGTGAACCTTTCGTTTCCTGCATCCTAAATTTTTATCTACATTTCAGGAAAACGTAATTATCAGGGAAAGGGTGGTGGACCCACGGTCTAGCAAAGGCAAGGGCTTTCAAGTGGGAGGAATTCAGTTCTATGATTTGACGAGAGACCCGAGTAGGTGACGTCTTAGTTCTCAATATCCTCATAAAACCAAAATAGAACAGAATAACGGGATCTCTAAACATCGGGGCTTTCAGCAAATTAGGTGAGGTAGCCGCTTATTGGTCACTGACTCTACTGAGCCTACTACTACCTAATTGGTAGTAGTCAGTGAGCAATTCTCTCCTAGTGTTAACTTTGCGTAAACAGGGATCCTGACGGCTTGAGTGTGCCTTCAACACTCCGCTGGGATCTGGGTGCTAATTACCGTCCTGGCTTCTGAGGACCAGCAGAGCATTTGTCAAGGACCCCTGCTGTGGGCTGTGACCTGTGGGCTGGGGGCTGTGGCCTTTCCACTTGGCAGGGAGGATAGAAGCTGTGTCCTCGGTTCCAAACAGCCTGCACCCGAAACCTTCTTAAGTTTCGGTAGTCTGGAGAGAGTCCACGGGGAGGGAATGTGAAGGAGCTCATCCTGCTCCGTAACAGCTGAGTGCGCCTGTGCGCGCAGGTGCGCGTCTTTGAACATCACCGTTCTCACTTCGCTGCTTCTGTAAAGACAGAGCAGTCATTTCGCTGCACGGTTGTTGGGCCAGTGGCATAAAACGGAACCGCTGCACAGCATGTGTCAGCAGCGGGGGTGGGGAGCGGGGGCGGTAGGGAAGGGTGTCCTGGAAAACTTCCGTGTTTCCCACGGGCGCCCCGAAGATCCACAGGGAGAGAAACGGGATGAGGGGCTCTGTGGGCGCATCTCTACGGTCAGATCTTGGCAAGCCCGCAAGGCATCGGGGCTGGGGCTGGGAAGGCTGCGGGAGACAGTGGCGGTGGAATGCCAAACGCACCTTGGGCGGCTCAAAGGCCCACCGAGCGAAGGAGGGGCGTCCGGGGCAGTGTTTGTGGAGGTCACCCTGGAGACGGCCTGGGTGCGCACGGGGACTGCAAGACCAAGCGAGGCCGGAGGCAGCAGCCGGTCTTCCCGAGCAGAGCAGGTCAGTGCAGGCGCTTGGGGACGGAAGGTCCACAAAAGGAGGCTGGGGAGGGAGCGGCCTACGGGGGAAACGGCGATCTCTGCACCCAGCCCAACAAACCAGAAACAGCGGTCCCAAGTTTGGCCTTCAAGGGGTGATGCTCAACTCATCTGGTCGCCGGTGGTCTCCCCTATCCGCTGCGCCTCTGGGGACCTCTGAATTCCGCCTGGGACCTCTCTAGGGAGGGCTTGCCTGCCAGCAGAGTTGGGACCAGCTAATTGTCAGGAATTAACAAGCGCGGGCGGTACCCTCACGCCGGGAGCGCAGTCCTTAGTTCTTCGGAAAGAGAAGAATCAGCCGAGTCAGGCTTTTTGACAGACGCCTCTTGAATAAAGCAAATAACTCCAAAGAGAGACTGGCAACCGGCTGTCGAAGGGGTTGGGAGAGGCGAAGGGGACTCTTCGCGGCGGAATTTAAAGTTTATGAATATTTATGAGATGGGTGGCACATTCGTGGCGTAAAGGTGACCATTTTTTTTTTCTCTCTCAATCATAGTAAACTCGATCTCCTTTTTAGGGAATCTCTTCCTATGCGATCTAGAAAAGGCGCCAAAGAGGGTCCAAACCACCGAACAACAAGGCCAGGATCTTGTACGTGTGTGTGTGTGTGTGTGTGTGTGTGTGTGTGTGTGTGTGTGTGTG